CAGAGTGCGCTACCGGGTATGTATGCGACATTTCCTGTACGGACCGCCGTGTGATCACACCATAAACTACAAGTCTCTGGAATCTCATCAATACCGATGACGAGTTTATCAAATCTGATAATAGGGATTACAAGAAATCTTTTCTTTACCAAAACCAATTCTACGGAACTTTCCGCTGGGAATGTTCACGGCTGGTATTTTTTTTTCACCTTCAATCCCAAGATTTCCCGCGCAGTACTTTATTCTGCCACTAGATGTCCTCAGTCTGATGGCCAGCCTCATTCAACCCATTTACTCTGAGCCCAGGTCATCATGAACAGCCTGTGATTGGACAGTGAAAAGAGAGGCGGCACAGTGATCAGCTCATCTGTCTGTCGCACTGCTCTCTTCTCCTGTCAGTACGCTCCTTGTCAGCACACAAACTGATTGGTTCCTTATGCTCTTTCCTTTCACTTTTCAGGGAAGATGACTGCAAGTGGTTGATAACAGGTCAGATCAGGGGTGGGCAGCTCTCCATCTAGCCAGGGGCATCCCGAGGCCAGGTGTCACCTGAGGCAGATACCGTGACACCCCGCCGTGACATCATCGCACATGCGTGAACGTCACTACCCCATACGTAATGACGTCATCGCGCATGCTCGGTCAGCTTTTTGATACCTGCCGAGAGAGGAGGGGACGTTCACCCGGCGGGATGAGTTATGCCGCCGGGTCCCCTCCTCTCTCCTGCAACTGTCGGGCTCTTGGTCCATGACCGAGTGCCCGACTTTTCAGAGGGGGTGACAACAAAATTAGTCATTTTGGTGTCAGCCGGGAGCAGGCCACACCCCCCTCGTGACGCCACTGCCTCCAGCTGCACTTTAACGACAAGTCCCATCATGCCTCTGCCTCTGAGAGCCATGTCTGTGACTGTCAGTCTTGCGATGCATCATGGGACTTGTAGTTCCACAACAGTCGTAGTTTAATGTAAACTTAAATGTCTTTTTTCTGAGTAATCTTCCACAGATCTCTAATGAACGCGACAATTAGGTGTTTCAACATTCATCGCGCTTAACATAAAACCGGATTTCACAACCAGATATTAAAATTAGAAAGTGTCAGAGTCAGGAAAACAAGATTGAGCAATCCGGAGACTCATCTGGCCTGTGCACATGTGTTCCTGTCACATGGCTGGCATCGGTTTAAAGGGCTCCGGTACAGAAGGGGGCGATGATTGACACCCCTGACAGCCACGTGTCCGAAGAGCTGCACTGATGATGTGCATATTATTTATGAGTATTTTATATCATTTGTATCTAAGGAATGAGAATGGGGGGGGTCAGTACAGAAGCCTGGCACTGGTATTTTTTGGTGCTGGGCTTTGACGCCAACATAACATCAAATCAAAGTTTCCCTGAAACTTTGAAGAAGAATTGTCACTGACAGTGGTGTCACAAGGGGGGGTGCACCCGGGAGACACCCGGGATGAGTCATTTTGGTGTCACCCACTCTGAAAAGTCGGGCACTCAGTCATGGATCGAGAGCCCGGCAGTTGCAGGAGAGAGGAGGGGACCTGGCGGCATACCTCATCCCACCGGTGAACGTCCCCTCCTCTCTCTGCCAGGGTCCATCACCAAGATGGCCCCCAGCAGGTAACGCAAAGATGGCCACGCATGTGCGATGTCATCGTGGCGGGGTGACACCTGGTCTCCAGCTCTGGGTGACAACCGGCCTTGGGATGCCCCTGATCACTGACACTTAAAGTGCAACTAAAGCCAAAACGTTTTTTTAGTTGTATAGAAGAAGGGAGGGTTATAAAATAAGCTCTTTTTTGCCATCTGTGCCCCACTGGCGAGATTTCCCTTCACTTCCTGTCCGATAGCCATAACAGGAAGTGAAGCAAAGTCCCTGCAAAGTGTAGGAAAATCCCTGGTGGTCAGCAGAACTAGTGTCCCCATTGGAGGATTTCTCATCTGTTCCTGTTCTGATGTCAACCCGAAATTTGGGAATTTTTTTTCCTTTTCATTCTCAGCATTGTTTATTACCAGTGACCGGTGACACCTGGGAATTTGTCTTTCCCTCTTGGCCACAGTATTCTTGCCCTGCATAAAGTCTGAAGGGCAGTGAACTGGCCCTTTGTTTAGAAGGTTCAGGGACCCCTGAGATAAAGGATGTGCCCTGTTCACACCGTCACGTTCCGTGAACACGCTCAAAATGCGCGCAGGACGTGTCAAAAATATGCAACACGCTGGTGCTGGCATTACTTGTTGACGGCCCCCCTCACCCTCCCCCCCCCCAAAGCGGCCAGGAGATCTCTCCCCTACCTGACTGCTTAACCTAAACCCTAAAATAACACCTTTATTCGTAACCCTCCACCAGGGGGAGCTCCAGCCTTTCCCTGTTCAATATAACATTAAAAGAGAACTATGGGGTCAGTGGTTTTTCCCCATAGTTCTCTTTAGGGTCAGGGTAGGACATATATAAGCGTCCACCCGTGACCCAAAACTCAGTATATAGCGGGCAATAGCTCACTGTACCGGTGAAACTCGAATAATTAGAATATCGTGCAAAAGTTCATTTATTTCACTAATGCAACTTAAAAGGTGAAACTAATATATGAGATCGACTCATTACATGCAAAGCAAGATAGTTCAAGCCGTGATTTGTCATCATTGTGATGATTATGGCTAGAGAGCTCCGCAGCGAGATCCACCCAGCTGTGTGTGTGACAGTTGGCTCTGCCTATCTAGAGGCAGAGCCAGCTGTGCCCGCCCCCTCCCCTGTTCATTCCTCCACTCAGCCCTGGATGATCAGAGAGGGGAAGGGGGAATCCCTGCGGGGAGCCGTGACTGACAGTCCCCGCTCACTGCAGGGACATGATCGGGAAGTGAGCAGATCGGCGGCATGTTTCTGCTCACTTCCTGATCAATAGAGCTGACGTGTGACAGCTTCTTTGTCACAGGGCGGCTCTAACTATGAGGATGAGTGGAAATCACTCACCTTATAGTTCTCCTTTTAAAAGTAATTTGTTCCATCTGTGTGCAAAAACACCCGTTGATCCTGCCAAAAATCTGTGCTGCTAACTTCCTATAGACGCTGTCTGTGCTGAATTCTTATCAGTTCCCAGCTATCTCTGGGCTCCAAATCACATTCCCCTTATGTTATGCGGAAGAGGAGAGGGGAAAGTGTCCTGAAATCCTGTCCTAGAGAGACGCAACCTAACCAAACTCCTAAACCTCAACCCTCTCCATAAATGATCCCTAACACTAACTAATCGATTCCTTTGCATACTTTCCTAATCTAACACTAGTAGCGCCTTGTTCCTCTACTAAAATATACCAGTGCCGGTCTCCTGGCACTGGATGCTGCTGATCCATCTAATAGAGCCAAGACCCCCCACCCCACATATCAGGTCCACAATGAAATGATGAGACCCTACAGGTCACTTGTAGTATGTTGCCCCTTTGATACTGTATCTTTGTGGTAGCACAGCTCTAAGAACTTTGTAAAAAAATGTTAACACCATCGTTCTTCCTCGTGCACACTCCCAACAAAACCTTTTTCCTTTTTGGACAGAGTCGGGAAGGGGAAGCTCCTCTAGCAGGTCATCATTACTGTCTGTGTGCCCCTTGTGTATTGTCCCAGGAACAGTCGTTAGAAGGGTGGAAACTAGAGGGGGCTTCTCCCCAACAAAACATGGACAATAATGACTTGACCGAGGCTTTGGCCCTTTCCACTTCTTCTAAAACAAGAAAATGAAAGTTTGACCTGAGCTTCGTTTTAAAGAACAAATTAATATAAGCAAAGGAGACAACGAGTAGCAGGCCAACGCCATCCTGAAAATGGGCTCATTATGGCCAAGGCCTGTGTGGTTTCTCCATGGCACTTGGCGTGAAAATAGGAGCTCATAACTGTCCATAACTATCCCCATCTGAGGATAGGAGCTCATAGCTGTCCATACTTATCCCCACCTGGCTTGAAGATAGGAGCTCATAGCTGTCCATAATAATCCCCACCTGGCCTGTAGATAGGAGCTCAAAGCTGTCCATAATTGTCTCCATCTGGCTTGAAGATAGGAGCTCATAGCCGTCCAAAATAATCAACACCTGGCTTGAAGACAAGAGCTCCTAACTGTCCATAATAATCAACATCTGGCTTGCAGATAGCAACTCATAACTGTCCATTATAAGCCCCACCTGGCTTGAAGATAGGAGCTCATAGCTGTATTATAATCCCCACCTGGCCTGTAGATAGGAACTCATATCTGTCCATTATTATCCCCACCTGGCTTGAAGATAGGAGCTCATAGCTGTATTATAATCCCCACCTGGCCTGTAGATAGGAACTCATATCTGTCCATTATTATCCCCACCTGGCTTGAAGATAGGAGCTCATAGCTGTCCATAATAATCCCCACCTGGTTCGAAGATAGGAGCTCATAGCTGTCCATACTTATCCCCACCTGGCTTGAAGATAGGAGCTGATAGCTGCCCATAATAATGAACACCTGGTTTGAAGATAGAAGCTCATAGCTGTCCATACTTATCCCCACCTAGCTTGAAGATAGGAGCTCATAGCTGTCCATAATAATCCCCTCCTGGTTTGAAGGTAGGAGCTCATAGCTGTCCATAATTGTCCTCACCTGGCTTGAAGATAGGAGCTCATAGCTGTCCATTATTATCCCCACCTGGCTTGAAGATAGGAGCTCATAGCTGTCCATTATTATCCCCACCTGGCTTGAAGATAGGAGCTCATAGCTGTCCATAATAATCCCCACCTGGCTCGAAGATAGGAGCTCATAGCTGTCCATAATAATCCCCACCTGGTTCGAAGATAGGAGCTCATAGCTGTCCATAATTGTCCTCACCTGACTTGGCCAGACATGGGGCCTCAATAAAATCTGAGCCTTGGTGCACTGATCCGTTACTCTGTGTTAGTGGCGGTTCAGTGGAAGGGGAATTGTGTGCTTTTAAATCATTCCTCCAACCAATCATAACTTTGTTTTCTTGTAGGAGTCCTGTGGCCGTACTATGTCCCTGAACCGATCCACTGTATCTTCACAAGGCTCTTTTCACTCCTCGCCATACTGTGATGACAAGCGTCCGCTGGGGAAGTCTACATCTTTGAAATCCTCGTGGCAGCCTTGGACACCGATACCCAAACGTGAACCCGAGCAGCCAGGAGATGTGACAGGGGCAGGATCGAGGGAGGAAGTTGGTAGCCGAGCCAGGCATTGGTCTGAACCACAGCGACAGACGGATAGTCAATTTCCGTTCAGGCTAGATGAAATGAACATCCGTACATCTGATGTGTAGTCCTGCGGCTTAGAGGGGAACAAGATGGCTGCAGCGTGTCGCTGGATCATCATTATTTAATAACTTTTTACCCAGAAAGAAGCATTCCTCCCGTGAGGGTGAAATTGGGTTCAGATGGTACTTCACTTGTCAGAGGCGGTTCAATATATGTTACTTGGCTTCAGTCAAACACCTTCATTGAACTGTTATTAATATCTTGATGATCTTTCTTGCAGCGCAGAGCCGTCGCAGCAGGAACTTGGTTATTGTCTTTCGGGTAGTGACTTGCCAACAGTCTTGTGTTTCCCCCAGACAATCCCAACTTTCAAGGTCATTTTTTGGCTGCATATACTTGCTGATGTAAGCAGACATATTGGGAGTGGTTGAGGTATACCGAGAAGTATTCCACTGAATCCACCTGGAAATAATGGCAAGCACTGGTGGAACTACAGGGGGGAGGGGTGCAGCTGCTTCTGCATGGCACTAGAGCCATGATTCGAAACTGTGGGACGTGTACACAAAGCAATAATGCGCACAGTCTCCAGATGTAAATATCGCATTCTGCCTACAATGGCGTCTTTGCTCTGTTGTATGCAAATAATAGAAAATATGGAACCCTGGCAGATGTGAGTAGAAGCACAATGCCCACGGATACAGCTTGCTATATAGATGCCATGTTACAGTATTCATTTTGTTTTTAGGAGAAAGTAAGCTGGAACATGCGTTCAGTCCAGCACTTCACTGTGAAGAAAGCAATTCATGTGCCTTTGTGTTAAGACTCTGTTGAGAGTCCTGATAGTGCCATTTGTCTGACATTAGTCAGAAGATCAGCCTAAGCATGGTGGTAGTGGCCAGGCGCCATAGTGGTGGTTGACCAGTTCTTTGTGAGCGTGCACTTTGAACTTTGCTTTGGCTTAAAGTAACGTTGTGGCTGCTGCCAGGTATAAAGTGCAACCTGGAGTCCTGGGCTGTTCTGATGGGCAAAACTCCAGCACTGCTACCAGACATGAAATGTATCTACATTTGGGTCCTTGGTCGTTCTGATGGGCAGTGCTCCAGCACTGCTACCAGACATGAAATGTATCTACATTTGGGTCCTTGGTCGTTCTGATGGGCAGTGCTCCAGCACTGCTACCAGACATGAAATGTATCTACATTTGGGTCCTTGGTCGTTCTGATGGGCAAAGCTCCAGCACTGCTACCAGACATGAAATGTATCTACATTTGGGTCCTTGGTCGTTCTGATGGGCAAAGCTCCAATACTGCTACCAGGTATCAAATGCATCTACTGCTGAGCTGTGGGTTGTTCTGACAGGCAAAACTCCAACATTTCCTGGTATTGTTGAAACTTGTTGGCCACTTTCTGGCTCCTTCACCTTCCTATTGGCCAGTGAGGCAACACATGATAGTTCTGAGCAAATGAGTGGGGAGCAAGATGAAGCGGCAATCTTCTAAACTACCGTGAAGCTTTGCTGATCAGAATGTCCTGGATTTTGGCCAGAGACGCAAGGTCTTTCTCATGGTACCTTCACTTAAAGGAGAACTATGGCGTCAATGTTTTTTTCCCCATAGTTTTCTTAAGGGTCACGGGAGGACACAAACTAGCGTCCTCCTGTCACCCTAGGTTCAGTATACCGCGATCTGTAGCTCGCGGTATACTGAGACCGCTGTAGCCGGGACGGATCCCGATATTACTGTCGAGATCCGCCCAGCTGCGTGAGTGATAGCTGGCTCTGCCTATCAAGAGGCAGAGTCAGCTGTGCCCGCCCCCTCCCCGTCCGTTCCGCCAGTCAGCGCTGGAGGAGCGGGGAGGGGAGGAATCCCTGCAGGGAGTCGTGAGTGACAGTCACGGCTCTCTGCAGGGACAAGATCGAGAAGTGAGCGAGCAACGGTATGTGTTCGATCTATTGAGCCGACCTGTGACAGTTTCATTGTCACGCGTCGGCTCGAACTATGAGGATGAGTAGAAATCACCTCATAGTTCTCCTCTTTAAAGCTGCTCTGTCGCTGAGTTAAGAAATGGGCAGAGGAGATAAGTGCTTATAATCACTTGTCCTGCCCCCAGTCCTCTTAGTGGTACTCCTCTTCATGCCCAACATACATCCAGTTGTGTTGGAGGTCTGGTCCTCCATTGCACAGAGTAGTGAAATGGGCCTGTGGGTGGAACCAAAGCCCATGGTGAGGGATGTGGGCATGTGACACTACTGGAAGTGTCGGGTCTGAAGAGTTTTTGGAGGGAGCAGCTCTTGCACAGAGAGATGATCAGTGGAATGGGTGGCAGGACAGGGAATAAAGCAGTTGTTGTTTTTTTTGCGTCTTTTAATATCTGACAACAGTTATATTAGCGGTACTGTCACTTTAAGCCAAGTATAAGCATGCTGCAGCTGAGGACATCGAAAGTCTGTTTTAGCAGCCACGAGGTACGCATGCAAGGTCACGCTAACTGAATAAAAAATTTGAGCACTTAATATTTAAGCGCATTTTAAGCGCATCGCATGTGACCTGCAGCGTCTGCAGTGGCGTCATTTCAGTTTTCTATCATAGTGTGCGGGAGTCAAGAGTCTATACATATATCATTATTTATATCAGATCAGGTTCATCATTTTTCTCTCATTCGTATTGGAAGCAATAATAAAGAGGGGCCATTTTGTTATACCGCTGCTCTATGATCTGTGCCGTTTTTGTTCGCTGACAATGTTATATTGATCGGTTACTTTATGTTTTATTCTATTTTTTTATGCAATTTGGAGTGTTTTGTTCATATCGTGATATTTCCTGCTATGCTGTTTGAAGCTCTTTTATCAGGTCTGAATACTAATGTTACAGAACATAAAGCGTATTACATGTGAATCTGGTATTAAAAGTGTTACAATGTACAAAACTCCGTGTTCCCATTCATGCTGCGCAATGTGACAGGTTCTCTTTAATTCCAGCCTCTGCGGTTTGCTTACACTTACATAGTCCTCATACACAGTACAGCCTGATATGTTTTATTCCTCGGACCTTTCACCATATTTGTTCCCTCTCTCAGGACTTCTTCTTTCTTATCAATATATTCATGTAAGTGAGATCTCCAGAACTGGACACAGAATTCTAAATGAGGTCTAATCAAATGTAGACTAATCAGGATCTCCTTCCCCCTGCTGGGGACCCCTCTAGTGATAATAAAGATCTATATAGAGGAATCAGGACTTCCTTCCCCCTGCTGGGGACCCCTCTAGTGATAATAAAGATCTATATAGAGGAATCAGGACTTCCTTCCCCCTGCTGGGGACCCCTCTAGTGATAATAAAGATCTATATAGAGGAATCAGGACTTCCTTCCCCCTGCTGGGGACCCCTCTAGTGATAATAAAGATCTATATAGAGGAATCAGGACTTCCTTCCCCCTGCTGGGGACCCCTCTAGTGATAATAAAGATCTATATAGAGGAATCAGGACTTCCTTCCCCCTGCTGGGGACCCCTCTAGTGATAATAAAGATCTATATAGAGGAATCAGGACTTCCTTCCCCCTGCTGGGGACCCCTCTAGTGATAATAAAGATCTATATAGAGGAATCAGGACTTCCTTCCCCCTGCTGGGGACCCCTCTAGTGATAATAAAGATCTATATAGAGGAATCAGGACTTCCTTCCCCCTGCTGGGGACCCCTCTAGTGATAATAAAGATCTATATAGAGGAATCAGGACTTCCTTCCCCCTGCTGGGGACCCCTCTAGTGATAATAAAGATCTATATAGAGGAATCAGGACTTCCTTCCCCCTGCTGGGGACCCCTCTAGTGATAATAAAGATCTATATAGAGGAATCAGGACTTCCTTCCCCCTGCTGGGGACCCCTCTAGTGATAATAAAGATCTATATAGAGGAATCAGGACTTCCTTCCCCCTGCTGGGGACCCCTCTAGTGATAATAAAGATCTATATAGAGGAATCAGGACTTCCTTCCCCCTGCTGGGGACCCCTCTAGTGATAATAAAGATCTATATAGAGGAATCAGGACTTCCTTCCCCCTGCTGGGGACCCCTCTAGTGATAATAAAGATCTATATAGAGGAATCAGGACTTCCTTCCCCCTGCTGGGGACCCCTCTAGTGATAATAAAGATCTATATAGAGGAATCAGGACTTCCTTCCCCCTGCTGGGGACCCCTCTAGTGATAATAAAGATCTATATAGAGGAATCAGGACTTCCTTCCCCCTGCTGGGGACCCCTCTAGTGATAATAAAGATCTATATAGAGGAATCAGGACCTCCTTCCTCCTGCCGGGGATCCCTCTAGGGATAACTAAAGATCTATATAGAGGAAGAGGAATCAGGACCTCCTTCCTCCTGAAAGTCAGATGTTCGCCAGGGAAAAAGCTCAACAGCTCAGGGAGCTGAGCTGAACCCTCTGGCTGGTGTCCCAACCAGCTCCTGGCAACCAATGACACCATTGAGTTAGGCTGGACGCTGTGCAAAAGCAACTAAGGTGGCGAGATGTCTAGGGACACCGCTCATGTCCCTTTTAATAGCTTCAGGTGGGCTGAAGGTCAAACTACTGTGTGTTACATAACAAACTCATTTATACTTTTCCTTTTTTTCTTAGTTTACCTATTAGCCGTATGAACAAGGACAAAGTCTGATAAATCCTGCCTAAAAGTTTCCTGGACTATGCCCGTCAATGATTTATTCGCCCCTATAAATGTTATTGCCCATAGCCCGCTGTTATCCATCTGATGTCAGCTGCGGCTTATGACATCATTAGCACAAATACACTTAATAATTCCTTAGTGTAATGTGACCCAAGTAAATCAAAATGTGTTCGTTCTCCGGGGACGGCAAAGCCATTAATAACACCAAAACCCAAATATGACACTGTTTATGTGCCGTGCTCAGCCGAGTGCACCAGAAAGGAAGGCTCAAATGTTCTCTATGTGTGTTCACAGGACCCGAAATTGAGGATGTGACATCATTTGCTGTGTTATAATTAATCTTCATGTCCCAGGATCCAATGTTTTCACATTATCGCCAGAGCCAAGATTATTC